TTGCAGAAAAAACTCCTTGGGTATCTGCTGTCGGTGAAAACTTTGTGGAGGAGCATCCGTATATGTTTATTTCTTTGCAAACCAGATATGATTTATGGCAAATGAATTACAGGAAGACCGTATCGATATTTGGAAGAATGTTCGTATGATCAAACTCAGTTTTAAGGTGCCTTTGAAAAAAAATGTAGCTAGTAAAAAGTACAGATCGCAGTAATTTCAGAATATTGTGGAACAGTGCATGTTATATAGTGTACACATCAAAGTCTAAAACACCATTAGATACATTTTATGCAGGTATAGAAATGGATTAATTCTGTGTTGTCAGAGTATTTACTAAAACAGAAGTAAGATTTGAATATCAAAAAATAGAAGCCAATTTTGTGTTTGTATAAGGTGGCAAAACTGTCAGTGATCATTGTCATTTCAACTGAGGAACATTGTCTGCACAAGTGCAGATAAGCATGGAAATCCAGAAGTTATTGTCAGTGATTGCCTGCTCCTTAAATGAATGCACTGTTGAAGTCTCTGCAGATAGCAATCTTGAAAAGAGAATCACTTGAATCAATGTGAACTTCCCTTCCCACACTGCAATATCACTATTTAAAATACCTCAAGTAAGTTACACATTAGTGAATGAATAAGGTGTAGCTGGGTTTTAGCGATGTCCTGAGCCATATCCACTTTTGAACAACCTCACTGGCCCTGAAAAACTAATATTTGTATAACTGCCACATTAAAATTAAATATTGATACAAATTTGATTTGTTTTGAAATGATTATTATACTTTCACATCTACCTGATAAACATGAGTTTTGATCTTAATTTACACTCTGTAAAAATCTATAAATGTGAATGATAATCAATGCATTTTGTCTGCTATGAGAATCCTTCAGGATGATTGTCTGCTCGCTTGATTGATAATATAGCTATTATCTCATAATCCTCTAATTCTGGTGTCAGAATCGAACATTGGGAAAATTGAAACCCTCATTTTAAAAGAAACTGCTAAAACTTACTGGATAGTTTTTTTTAAAAAGATTAACCACGGTTACTGCTGAATGCAAAATCCAGGCGAGAGCCTCTTTGTAGGCATAACTGCACAACATTGCCTGCCAAATTGTTTAGCTATAAATCATTCATTAAATACTTGGTAATACAGACTGTAAACAGGCTAAAAGAACATAAGTTGAATATTTTGTCTTGCACTCATCAGAACTGGATGGCTAGGATAAAACAAAGGACACAATTTTATACAGAATGAGGACGGGTACTAATTGACCAGGCTGTCATCGGCTTGACAATACTGCAAGAACAATAAAATGGCAATCTTAATTCTCAAAGCAGGCTGATACATTCTGATTGGTCAAGATATTGCACAGGGATGCAGAGGGTGACTACCTCCACAATTCCATTTTTGTAAAAAAGATGCAATGTATGTATAAATTCCTGTGTCTACAAAAAAAAGATCCTGAGTATTTATATACATAGCTTCTAGAACACGCAAATGTATCACACCACAAGCCCAGCTAATGATCATAAATTGATTGCTGCCGTATCCTTTTGGCATAGTTCAGATTATTTAACAAATGATTTCCAATAGCAGAATCACACCTGATGGTGGACATACTTTTCTGAGACTTGCCAGCATGGGCTGATTGAGCATGAGCACATGCTCAACGGGACGTGTTGTTTGATAAAGCTTGTTACCAATTTAAGCAGCCTGCAATGTGATGTATTTGTATGTGGCAGAATCTTACATATAAAAATATTCAGGACCCTGGTTTACATCGACAAAAAGGATTTGTGCATTGTACTTTTTTCAAAGCAAAAAGGGGTCATTGGGCATGTCAAACATTGCCACCTTCCCAAGACAACACCCTGACCAACCAGATCTACCTGCCTTTCGTGAGAATTCAGATTGACAGTTAACTGTTCCTGCTGCATCCCCACTCCAATATAGCTCAACCAATCATTGCCCTCTATTCATGCTGTATAACATAGTGTCTCTTTTTCTAAGTCTGTTTCTTGCAACCTAGTTCTGGTGAGTGCAAGCCAAAAAGATTCAACTTCTAAACTCCCTCAAGCATGTTTAAAACATTGTGATTAATGTTTTACTTTTTGGCTCAGGACACAATAAGGCATTTTTCGACTGACATTATTTATTTTGCAATAAATAGGAGGCATAAAATTACTATATATTTGATACAAATGTCAGTGAAACTATCGGCTCAATGTTTTCAGGCATAGAGGAAGGTTAAAGCATGGCAAATACAGGTAGGGATGTAACGTACAAATTAAAAGGTGGTGATGTTGAAACTGTGTCTGCTCTTTGCATAGCTGCAGTACTATGTTGAATTGAAAGCAAAATACTGTGGATGCTGGAAATCTGAAACAGAATGCTGAAGAAACTCAACAGGTCTGGCAGCATTGGGAGAGAGAAAATATAGTTAACAGCGAGTCTGGAATGACGCTTCTTCTGAGGGTTTTTTTTAGAAACGGTCAAAAGTGTTTTGGTTTCAGTTTCATTTCCAGTATAAACCAAATACAGCGCAGTAGAGGCTGCAAGTTATCTTTTCTCACTCAGACAGCAACTTTTCTGAGAACACTGTTGTGGAATTTGGGCAACATAACTCCTTGATAAGGAAATGAGCTCTGAATTCAATAATTGCATGTCAAGATGGAGTACACAAGAGGAGAAACATTAGTGGGAGTGCTGGGAAGCATGTTAGAATAGTTACTTCAGTATTCAAGAAGGCTTCTTCTGCTCCTCTCAAGTTCCAGACTATACAAGATTAAATTCTCTTTATACTAGATCAGAATTGTGAACCGAATTATGTGTTATTGTATTCAGTAATGGTTATTATTTATATCCACTGTGAACTGTGGTACATATAAAATGTATGCCTACTTCCAATGAAATCCACTAAAAGTCTTTAACCCACTACATTATGGAATAGCTTACAAAATCCATTCCTGAACAGCCGAGACTTCCCACTCTCTGAAAAGTGAGGAGGCAATAATAATACACCTTAGTACAAAATCATGCTTTTGCTTAAGAGTTGCATAATTTTTTCTTTCTTCTTGAGGTCTGTACCCAAATGCAGGTCAGACCCACAACAATTCAGCCTCCACTACAAAGGGGGCAAGGAGGCAGCTCCTGAATCCACCTGAGGCAGAATGAGATAGAACCCTGTGCTGTTGGCAACAGTCTGATGCACAATGGTCATCCAACTGACGGAGCCAATCAACCATCCCCCAGATTTGTTAAGGCTGATCTTTCAGGAAAGATAATAGTACGTCAATGCCATGGTAACTATCGTACAAAATGTCAATGAGTCCACAGACATACAGATTTCTAAGTCAGTAACAAGTAACACCGGAACAAGAACAGGAAGTGCTGTAAAAACTCAGATGTAGCGGCATCTCAGTGTCAACTGTAGGACACAAAGCTGCTAGAATCTGTTCCACAATTCAATCTGATCACAGCTAATCAGTATCCTCTCTCTGTTCGCCTTGCTTTGTCTCCACAGCTCTTTAAAATACATGGCTAGAAAAACACACACGTTTAAACTTTAAATTTAGTAGTTGAGCTAGCAACTATAGTTTTTTGAGTGAGAAAGTTTGACATTTCCATCTTAGCTTGCATGAAAACAGTTTTCGTATTTTTTTCTCCTGAATGGTCATTGCCTAATTTTGAGGAATATGCCTGTGCTTCCTAAACATTCTTATCAGCAGAAAAAGTTCTCAAACAATCCTATAGAATTTCTTTCAAAACCTTAAAATCAACAACTATAATCACCCTCTAACATTCTACATTCCATGGTTTACACAATTAGTTTAATACTAAATTCTTGGAGCATTTATAACATGCTGGTTTTTATTTATTTAGCAAATATAAATTCCCAAAGCCTAGCTTCATTTGCTGAATTTAAAGTATTTAATCCACCGCCAAGTCAACACCGAAAAAAATTCTTCTGAAGAAGAAGGGTCCCGACCCGAAACATCAGCTTTCCTGCTCCTCTGATGCTGCCTGGCCTGCTGCGTTCCTCCAGCTCCACACTGTGTTATCTCTGACTCCAGCAGCAGCAGTTCTTACTATCCCCTCCACATTTCCCATTCCTTGATGGAAAGGATTTCTGCTGGTAAATCTTGCCAAGGAAGGCTCTGCAAAATATTGTTCCTAAGGTAAACTGCCCAGAATCATGCAAAGCATTCTATATGTTGTCCAATTAGTGCTCTGTGTCACTGCAGCCTGCAGCAAACTTTCTCCACTGACATCACATTAAAATATCATTACAATCACCTGACTCAAAGGGAAACAATTTAAATGCACTGTAATCATTTTTTAAATTCTTACTCTGTTGTGTAGTCAATTGCTATATTTCTTAATATCAAAACTAATAAGTGAACTTCTTTTGCCTATCTTTTTTCTTTGTCATTTGGTTCCTTATTAGACTCTGATTTAGCCTTTTTCACTCTTGTTCTTTTCTCATTTCTTAATCTTGTTGCTCAAGTAGATAAATCATTGACTGATGTCCCAGTGACTCTGCCCTTGACACACTGTTACAAGTTCAAAACTTCCAGCAAGTTACAATGCAAAAAGTTGAGGAGAATTTGCAAACAATCTAACAGCATGGTACACCTGGTATTATAAACGTGAATACAAATATATTTTCATTATGTTCAAGATCAGTGGCAAACATTAAAAAAGTCAAACAATCATACCACTAATATGTTTGAATATCAGTAAAAATCTACGTGTTTAATTCCAAAATAGATCACCAAAAGAGTCGTTACACAAACAACACCCTTCTTGTCTTGGGAAAAACCCCAAAGCAAAATGTGACCAGCATTTTTTTTGCAGGCAGGACTGGCAACCAATCGCCCAAAAACTGAGAAAATAAGATGAGCTGTTTTGGAGATCTTGATAGTATGTAGTAAATAATATTATTCAATTCTAATCATGTATAATGAAGCTTATTTTAGGCGTGTTGCGTACCTGTTCAGAAACAGCTCTGAAGAGACAAGATCCATCCTTAGCAATTCTCTTTCGATACAGACCCTGACTCCTCAAGTATTCATCAAGGAGAAGTTCATTGGGGTGAGTGGTGCTGTTGCAACGCTCCACGGCCTGGCAGATTTTGCCTTTACCAGCAGCACCGCCCCTCTCCATCTCAAGTGGCCACCTCACGCCCGCTCTGCGAGCACATGTTCAGATTGACTCCTCACCGCGCGTTCTGCTCCAGCACCGAGTTCCCAAGCTCGAGATCCAATTATCCTGGAGTCAGAGACTCAGTTCGTGCTGCCATTTGTTTTGACAGAGTGCATTCTGGATGATGTAGTCGCCCTTTGTAGCACTGTTGCCCTATCGCGCAGGCGCCTGTTTACGAAAAAACTACAAAGTCCAAAGTGCATCCTCGGATGGTCGACGAAAGTTGTTCCGTTCAGTAGCGTCGCAGTAAACACAAAGTATTGGAATAAGACTATGTTTAATGGGAGCTATATGTTAAGACTGAAGCTTTAGATTGATAAAGTGCAAGGCCTAAGGAAGGAATTTCCTTTAGCTGAGGTGTAGCCACTACCGGAGAAGCGATAGAAAATGGAGGGTTCACAATAGGCTAAACATTGACAGAGCGCTGAGTTCTCAGCAGCTAGAGCAGGTTATAACGGAAGGGGTGGGCTTCCTAGTGGAAGTGTCGCTTTGGGCCAGAAAGTATGGTTTAAATTCCAATCTGCCGTCGATGTATCATAGTTTGTCTGAACAGGTTGAAAAGAGATGGGTATGGGCAAGGTGGAGCAAAAAATAAGGAATTTAAAATCGGGTGTTGTCAGTCAAGGGAGGCATGGTGACTCGTTGAGCGGATTAGGGTATTGTTTGGATACGGTGAACAATGGAAAATAATATCGTGAAAAATGGAAAAGTAATCCAAAATTAATGGCCGTTGTCAAGTGTGGCAGAAATCCGAAGTATGGATGAAGTTTCCGGCAACATTGGAGCTGAGGCAGGATATATTTTGAAGCTGGTTTTTGACATCAAGAGGACAAGAAATTCAGTTCAAGCTAAAATACAACACTCTTGTGATCAGTTAACCAAATCATGTCACTGCAGCCCTGAAAAACACTGGGATTGGTGGTGAAGTTACGCAATTTATGTTTTGACCTTAAAGCAATGGTTACGCTTCCAAGTGTTTAATTGGAGAAAATTATAATTTATCAAAAACTCTATCAGTTGCAGTGTCTGACAAGTGATGATGAGGTTGAGTGAGATGCCATGAATGAGATTGAAAACTGACATTCCTTGGATGATGTCGTAAAGGAATAACAAACACAATAAAATAAACGAACAAAAACAAATTTGCTGGAAAAGCTCAGCAGGTCTGGCAGCATCTAGAAGTAAGAGTTAGAGTTAATGTTTCGGGTTCAGTGACCCTACCTCAGAACTGGTGGTGGCTGGGAAAATGTCAGTTTATGTGCAAAAAAACGGGGAATATGATGGGTAGGGAGTAAACGATAGAATAGAGCCTAAAAAGAGAGGGAAGAGCAGTTGGACAGACAAAGAAGTCGATAACAATTGGGCTGGAAGGGTCAATAGTTGTTAATGGGGACTATTAGTGACTAACAACAGGTAGTGTGTAATGGCAGGCAATGTGGTAATAAGGCCTCATGAGTGGGGCAGAAGACTAGGACATGTGAGAATTTCAGCCCTATAATTATTGAATTTGATATTGAGTCCGGAGGGCTGCAGGGCCCCTAAGCAGAAAATGAGGTGTTGTTCTTCCAGCTTGTGTTGAGCTTCGCTGGAACACTACAGCAAGCCAGAGACAGAGAAGTTGGCCAGGGAACAGGGTAGTGCACTAAAGTGGCAGGCAACAGGTAGTTCAGGGTCTTTTTTGCGAGCAGAACGTAGATGTTCTGCAAAGCAGTAACCCAGCCTACGCTTCGTTTCCCCAATGTAAAGGAGACCATATTGCAAGCAGCGAATGCAGTAGACTAGATTCTGGGAAGTGCCGGTGAAGTGTTCCTTCACCTGGAAGGTACGTTTGGGCTCTTGAATACGAGGGAGGGAGGAGGTCAATGGGCAGGTGTTGCACCTTCACTGGTTAAAGGGGAAGGTGCCATTGGGCTGTGGGGTATGTTGGGGGTGAAGGAAGCGTGGACCATGGTGTCCCGGAGAGAACCGTCCCTGCGGAAGGCGGACAAGGGAGGGGAATATGTCTGTTGGTGGCATCTCACTGGAGGTGGTGGAAATGGCATCTAATGATCTGTATGTGGATGCTGGTGGGATGATGGGTAAGGACAAGTGGAACCCTATTGCTGTTGTGGGAGGGAAGAGAAGGGGTGAGGGCAAAAGTGCAGGAGATGGGTTGGACCTAGTTGAGGGCTCTGTCGACAACAGAGCTGGGGAATCCTCAGTTGAGGAAGAGGGTGGATATTTCGAAGGCTCCCTTGTCGAAGTTGGCCTCATTTGAACATGCAACGGAGACGGAGGAACTGAGAGAATGGGTGGAGTCTTTACAGGAAGTGGGGTGTGAGGATGTATAGTCCAAGTAGCTGTGGGAGTTACTGGGTTTGTAGTGGATATTAGTGGCCAGTCTATCCCCAGAAATGGAAACAGAAATGTCAAGGAAGGGAAGGGAGGAGTCAGAGACAGACCAGGTGAAAGTGAGGACAGGGTGGAAATTGGATGTGAAATTGATTAAGTTTTCCAATTCCAGACGAGAGAGGGAAGCAGCACCAACGATATCATCGATGTATCGAAGAAAGAATTATGGGTGGGGTCCGGAATAGGACTGGAACAAGGAATGTTCCACATACCCCATGAAGAGTCAGGCAAAACTAGGGCCCATGCAGATACCCATGGCCACCCCTCTTACCCGAAGAAAATGAGAGGAGTTAAAATAGAAATTGTTGAGGGTGAGGCAGAGCTCGGCCAAGCGGAGGAGGGTGGTGGTGGTGGTGGGTGGGGATGGTTCAGGTCTTTGCTCCAGGAAGAAGCGGAGAGCCAGAAGACCCTCCTGGTGGGGAATGGATGTGTAAAGGGATTGCACATCCATGGTAAAGAGGAGGAGGCTGGAACCAGCAGACTGGAAGTTTTGAAACCGGCGCGAGGCATCAGAGAATTCGTGGATGTATGTGGGCAGAGATTGGACCAGGGGAGAGAAAACTGAGTCAAGGTAGGAAGAGATGAGTTCTCTGGGCCAGGAACAGGCTGAAACAATGGGTCTGCCCTGACAGTCCTGTTTGTGGATTTTAGGGAGAGATAGTAGCGAGCTGTGCGGGGCTGGGGGACTATCAGCTTGGAGGCTGAGCGGGGTGCGATCACCGGATGAAATGAGATAAGTTACCACAGTAGATATGTGTCATGGTGGGGTCATGGTCCAGGGGAATGTAGGAGGAGGTATCTGAGAGTTGGCCCTCAGCCTCTGCAAGGTAGAGGTCAGAACACCAGACTACAACAGCACCACCCTTATCAGCAGGCTTAATAACAAAGTCAGGGTTAGATCTGGGTGCACGGAGTGCAGTCAGTTCAGAGAGAGATAGGTTGGATTTGGTGAGAGGGGCAGAGAAATTGAGGTGACGAATATCACATCAACAGTTCTCAAGTGCAAGCTGATAGTTCCCCAGCCCCACATAGCTCGCTTCTGTCTCCTCCTAAAAATCCACAAACAGGACTATCCAATCCCTGCCCAAGTACATCCATGATTCCTCTGACGCCTCACGCCGGTTTCAAAACTTCCAGTTTGCCAGTTCCAGCCGCCTCCTCTTTAACATGGACATGCAATCCCTTTACACGTCCATTCCCCACCAGGAGGGTCTTTGGGCTCTCCGCTTCTTCCTGGAGCAGAGACTTGAACCATCACCACCGTCCCCTGCTTGGCCGAGCTCGTCCTCACTCTCAACAACTTCTCTTTTAACTCCTCTCATTTTCTTCAGGTAAGAGGGGTGTCCATGGGTACCCGTGTGGGCCCTAGTTATGCCAGATTCTTCCTGGGGTATGTGGAATATTCTTTACTCCAGTCCTATTCCAAGCCCCATCCACAACTCTTTCTCTGATACATCGATGATATCATCGGTGCTGCTTCCCTTTCTTGTCTGGAATTGGAAAACTTAATCAATTTCACCTCCAATTTACACCCTGCTCTCACTTTCACTTGGTCTACCTCTGACTCCTCCCTTCCCTTCCTCGACATTTCTGTTTCCATTTCTGGGGATAGACTGGCCACTAATATCCACAAACCCACCGACTCCCACAGCTACCTGGACTGTACATCCTCACACCCTGCTTCCTGTAAAGATTCGATCCCACTCTCTCAGTTCCTCCCTCTCCATCGTATCAGTTCAGATGAGGCCAACTTCAACAAGGGAGTCTCCAAAATGTCCACCTTCTTCCTCAACCAAGGATTCCCCAGCTCCGTTGTCAACTGAGTGGCCCTCAACTGGTCCGACCCATCTCCCGCACTTCTGCCCTCACCCCTTCTCTTCCCTTCCACAACAGCAATAGGGTTCCCCTTGTCCTTAACTACCATCCCACCAGCATCCACATCCAGAAGATCACCAGACATCATTTCCGCCACCTCCAGCGAGATGCCACCACCAGACACACATTCCCTTCCTTGTCTGCCTTCCGTAGGGACCGTTCCCTCCGGGGCACTTTGGTCCACTTCCTTCACTCCCAACACCCACCCCCGCAGCACAACGGCACCTTCCCCTATAACCGCCAAAGGTGCATCACCTGCCCATTTACCTCATCCCTCCCCAGTATCCAAGGCCCTAAACATATCTTCAACAACATTTCATCTGCACTTCCCAGAATCTAGTCTACTGCATTTACTGCTCACAATGTGGCCTCCTCTACATTGGGGAAACAAAGCGTAGACTGGGTGACCGCTTCGCAGAACATCTATGTTCTGCTCGCAAAAAAGTCCCTGAACTACCTGTTGCCTGCCACTTTAACGCACCACCCTTTTCCATGGCCAACATCTCTGTCTCTGGCTTGCTGCAGTGTTCCAGCGAAGCTCAATGCAAGCTAGAAGAACAGCATCTCATTTTCCGCTTGGGGACCCTGCAGCACTCCAGACTCAATATCAAGTTCAATAATTTTAGGGCCGAAACTCTCCCATGTCCCAGTCCCCTACCCCACACACCAGGCCTTGTTACCACATAGCCTGCCATTACACAACACCTGTTGTTACTAATACTCCCCATTAACTGTTGACCCTCCCAGCCCAATTGTTATCAACTTTTTTGTCTGTCCAACTGCTCTTTCTTTAGGCTCTATCCTATCGTTTACTCCCTGCCCTGTCCCCCTCCCTATTTTCTGCATATAAATTGACATTTTCC